TTGGGGTAGGCTCTATTTCTCCATAGTCTCCCGGTTTAGATTCTAAAAAAAACGGTACCCGAGTTCTCTTTGTTGGTGCCCCCTTGGGCTTACCAGACCCTTAGTCCTAATCCCATTACAAGCTTGTGTGGACTAAGCTAAACTCGGGAGGATACATTCCCTTATGCCCATACGGAGAATAAATTCACACGAAGGCATAAGGTATATGAATCCTGAAGATTACTTGCTAGGACCATACGATGAATAAATTCACACGAAGGCGTCGCTTTCACCCCCACTTAAAACGGGTTCGGAGCTCGGGTATAGAGCCTTTAAATGAAAAAGTTTAGAAGGCTGAAATCGTTGAGAAAACGGTCAGTTTAACTATTTACTCGAAAAAATATAATCAAAAGTAAGAAATAAGGATCGAAATGTTACCTTAAAATTTAAACTTACCCTTTTCGTTAAAAAGACAACTAGAAATTACCTTAGCCTGACTCACTTACCTGTTTCCCCAGCAGAGTCGCCAAGCTGTCGTAACCGTCTTTCGGTTGGGCCCCGGAATTGGGTTTCGACTTGAAAAATATGGATTGGAGTCGCCAACGATCATTTATTTAAAACAAATGGGTTGATCGGATACCCTATTTCTTACATGATCTGCGCCTTACCAGAAATATGTCGGGCTCGGGAGTCGGTTACGGTCAAGGAAGGATTAGCACCCTTGAACTGCCCTTTCGGTACTACGTAATTTCCAGTTGTCTTAATTAAGAAAATTGTAATTTTAAATTAAAAGGTAAAATTTGATCATGAATTACTTACCTCTGATTAATTGACGAAAATACCCTTAAAAAGTCATAAGATGTGTTAGAGGGAAAAAATGAATAAATGAAAAAAATGAAGAATAAAAATAAGTACAAAATAAAATAAAAGAATAAATAAATAAATAAATAAATAAATAAATGAAATATTAATATATATATATATATATATAAATGAGTAAATAGAAAAATAATAATCATAACAATAATGATAGTAATATGAAAATATAATATACTATAAACAAATAAAAAAAAACCAAAAACAAAAATAAATAAATATATAAACCAAATATAAAAGTATACATATAATGATAATTGGCTTATTAATAAACTATTAAAACATACGTATATACGTATATGATAAAGTAAAAAAACTAAATAAAGATAATTACAATATATATATATATAGTAATAATATGCTTATAAGTAAAATATTTTAATATATATATATATATAATAAATATAGTATTAAACAATAACCAAATGAATATAAATAAAAATATATATGTATATATAATAATAATATAATGTAAAAAATCAATTGAAAATCATTTAAAAAAACATATGTATATATATTTATAATGACAATAATATAAATAATATAAATAAAAATATCTATACAATAAATAAAAGGATTAATATAAGAAAAATAAAATTTGGGGCTAAATTTGAAAGACAATTAACGTCGATATTGCGCATTAGGGGGATAAAAAATGAACACGCCTCGGGGTAGATCTAGGTTCGAAACTTCGAAACCCACCCATTTTGGTCGTCGGCGCAACCCACGTTTTGGATTATTCGAACCAAATCTCAAGAAAATAACGTACATGCGAGAAATGAACGAATCAAAAAAATACTACCTTTTATTTCTTTTTCGAATCGTTTACAATAGTTTTGCCTTTGTATTTTCCGTGCTTTCTTCTGTATTTTGTCTGTAAATCTTGTGTTACAATAGTGAGTTACAATGGCTATTATAGTGCTTGTGGATCCTATCTTTAGGAGTTTAAATCATAGTAGAACTCTATCATATTTTTAGGATTTTGAATCCTAGCAAAATTATATCCTATTTTTAGGAGTTTGAATCCTAGTATGACGAAAATGTATGTTGACGGTAATGTTGTTTAAATTTTAAATATTTAGGTTAAAATCTTATAATTGTATGTGAGTTCTTTTTAAATATATTTTATATTCAATTTTAGCATAAGATATACATTTTATTACATATAAATTATTCATCAATTTTTTAATTTTTATAATTTAATTATATCAAACAATTTAAGAAGTAATTATTCTAGATTTGACTTAAAATCGTGCATCACATGTCTAATGTGGATAACACCATCCTTTATATGTTGATTGAGGTGCAAGATACCATAGGCATAAGCTGCATGTGTTCATATTAACATCACATGCTATCTTCTTCAAAGGTATCTACTTTTAGCTGCCAGAACAAACCTTTTTCTTATTAGAGAATAATTCCCATATATCGTGTAGGTTGATGTTGTATAATAATTATTGCAGACAATACATATTATTAATTTATTAAGTTTAATTTAATTAATATTATTGTTGATGTAATATATATGAAAAATGATAATTAAGTATATTTATTTGTTTAATATTTTTCATTGTTATCTGTGTAATAAAAAAACAACAGTTTAAATAATTAGACATAACGCCATTTTGTCTGACCATCAACACCATTTCATGTGCTATTTGGTTAAAAAGGATTTAATAACAAAGTTTTTGTCTTTCTTTTAGTTCATTTACTTTCTTTTTATTCCTTTTATTCTTAATAATGGGATGTAAATTGCACTTAGTTGGTAAGAGCGCAAGGCTCTTAACCTTATGATCGTGGGTTATTTCATGTGATATTTGGTTAAAAAGGATTTAATAACAAAGTTTTTGTCTTTCTTTTTGTTCATTTACTTTCTTTTTTATTCCTTTTATTCTTAATAATGGGATGCAAATTGCACTTAGTTGGTAAGAGCGCAAGGCTCTTAACCTTATGGTTGTGGGATCGAGACCCACAATGGACAATTCATAATTTTGACTGCCGGAGGTCTACCACAGAAACTGCTCTCAACCTGGCGTTGGGGGTCAGCTTACTATCCTATCTCCCCTTACTCTATTATATATGAGAATATGGTCAGCTGATTTTTTTTATAAACTACAGTGATAATTATTTTAATGCTTCAAGTATGAAATAACTAATTCCAATGATTTAAATATATGTTACTATTAGAAATTTCAGCATCATCACATGCAGTATTAATATAATTTCCTCAATTAATTTAGGCTGCAATATTTCTACTAATGATTCAAAAAAAAACAAATAGATAATATCAATGGCTTAAAATATGTTATAATTACCAACAGAGGTTTGTTCAAGTGGTAATCAACTTGATATCGCTTAAGTAAAGTCTCGAGTTCGAGGTCTTGTGTATGAAAAAAATTCCTACTGGGAGACTCACCCACCAAAAACTAGTTGTGTGACACGGGTCGATCCGAATTAGTTAAGGTGAAGCCTTCAAACTTAGAGTACAACAAAAAAATGTTATAATTGGAATTTAAGTACGAGAACATAGATAGGCAGTATTATTATATCCTCAACTAATATAGGCTGCATTTATACACAGTTACATGTTTTCTTCATCTATAGTATAATTATACGCATCTGTATAATTAAAAGTAATATCAAACATAGTAATACACAATAGAAATACATTCAATATATTTTTATTATTACTAATAAGCTCAATTATTATAATATATAAATATATAGATTGATAAATAAAACACAGTTAAAATTAAATTATAGTAAATTTAGATAAATAATATATAGTAAAGTTTAAATTAATAACTCACACACATACATATATATATATATAAAGACCCAAATATCGATCTCTACCAATACACCCAAGGACTCATATCTATTAATAACTCGTGTATATATATATATATAATAAATTTTTTATTCTAAAATTCTAATCAAATTTTAAGTCAAATAAAATTTATCTAAACTAAGATAAATTCATATTTCAAATGAAAGAAATATATTTCTTGAATCGAATTAAATTGATAGAAAATTTTACCTGATCAAGGACATCCTTACAAATAACCCATTACATCACCAAAACTAACCTACAAACGATCATATAACTCTCACCATTGGTTGGAAGCTGCTTTTCCCAACAAATCAATGTTGCATAATCCACTAAATTACATGACATTTCTGTGGAGAGATCAATAACGGTTAATAATACCTAATTGTTTAAATAAACCTTCAAAATTTAGAAAAGAACGGTTTATCATAATTAATATTTCAGTGGAAAGAGCAATATCAGTTAATACTTCCTAATTGTTTAAATATGATTTTTACTGCACATACATACATGATATTTATGGCTCTGATAAATATAATAATTTATATGGCTTAATATAATTACATAAATAAAATAATATATCTTCTATATGATTAATTTTGTTTCAAATAAATTAAATAATTAATTTAATTTATACGGCCAATCCCTTCATGAGATCAGTTCATGGTCCACTAGTGGAACAGATGAGGTATTATTATAGCACAAACGGTAGACTTTTTCTCCGTCGACGGGGCCCACCAATAATTCAAAGAAATTTGGTACCACATGTCGAAATGCCGACACGACATCGTTCCCCTAACATCAATAGCACCGTAACGACAAACCTTCTTGCACATGGGCCTTTATAGGATAAATTAAAAATAAAAGCAATATTGTTAACGGCAGATTTCCAACGCCCGCAAGGATCACGCGGGATTAACGTCTAACGGTCAGTGGACCCCACTCTCCCCGGTGCCGTATAATGACACCTAATAAATGAATCCAAGAATATGGATCCATATTCATACTTGTAAATAATAAGAAAAATTATTTTATATAATAATAATAATATAAATATCCCTTAATATAAGGATAATCCTTTCATGTATGAGTAGTTAATACTTAATAATTAAGTCTGTAAAATATGAGTATTATTAATCATTAAACATTTGCTATTCTTATTATTAATTCAAAATATTTAAAAATATAATTTACAAACATGATTGCAAATTATGATAAACAAAAATAAAAATCTCATGGAAATGTTGAAATATATACGTACGTTTGTCTATATATACTTATGATAGATGCATGAAGATCTGAGCACTGCCTTCAGTCTTTCAACATCAAAAGCAAATAAAAAACTGTCGGCAAAACTATCTTTAACTAATATTTCTTTCACTCTTCTTTCAACTTCATCTACACCTTTTTTTCCAAAAAAAAATTACCTACACCTTCCGGAACAAGTGGTGGCGCCGCCAGTTAGCACAATGCAGCGCGGCTGTGGGTTCACCGAGGTTGTCACATTGTGTTTCGTCTTGTTGTTGGAGTGTCTAAAGGTGGCTGGTAAGATCTCTACTCCACATAATGTTACCGACCTACATTGGCATCCAGCCACCGCCACTTGGTACGGCAGTCCCAACGGTGATGGAAGCGACGGTAAGATCTGTAAAGGAGATTCTTGCATTTTGTTAAATCCAGTGCTCAATTATTGCCTTAATTATATATATATCTTATTTTTATTCTTAGGCGGAGCATGTGGGTACGGATCGTTAGTCGACGTGAGGCCGCTGAAGGCCAGAGTGGGAGCGGTGAGCCCGGTGCTGTTCAAGAACGGAGAAGGGTGTGGAGCTTGCTACAAAGTTAAGTGCCTAGACAAGAGCATATGCTCAAAGAGGCCGGTGACCATCATTGTAATGGACAGGAGCCCTACGGGGCCTGGCGTCATCGGCCGCACCCACTTCGATCTAAGCGGTGCAGCCTTTGGCCACATGGCTGTACGCGGTCGGAGTGTGCAGCTCAGGAACCGAGGTGTACTCCGAGTCTCGTATAGAAGGTGTGTGCTTTAGTGTTTTCGTTAGTCTTTCAATTATTGTTCTTTAAAATTCTAAATTGAATGATTTGTTGAATTGAAAATTCAGGACCCCGTGTAAATATCCAGGGAAGAGTATTGCATTCCATGTTAATGCTGGTTCAACTGCCTATTGGCTATCTCTTTTGATTGAATTTGAGGATGGAGATGGAGATATTGGGTCAATGCACATAAGGGAAGTAAATTCTAATGAATGGTTAAAGATGGATCATCTATGGGGAGCAAATTGGAACATAAATGGGGGGCCTTTGAAGGGACCATTCTCAGTGAAACTAACAACATTATCAACAAGAAGAACACTGTCTGCAAGGGATGTGATTCCCAGAAATTGGATGCCCAAAGCGACTTACACTTCTCGCCTTAACTTCCTCTGAGTCTTGGCCCGTCACAATAAGGGAACTAAGCTTATGTCTTGTCACATGATGCCAAAAGTATTCCTTGTCCCCCTTTGTATTTAAAAGAAAAAGGTTAGCTGATAATAACACCCAAGGGCTCTTTCTTTTTCTTTTTTCCAAGATAGTTTCCTCTACTTTTGCGTGCCAAGGTCTTGTAGCCCTCTCCAAAGGAGAGACTGCTTTAGTGCGTTGTTAAATGTCATTTATGTTTGGATAATGCAAGTTTCTGCTTCTGTTGGCTTTTAACTTTTAATGTAAATTTGGAGCATTTAAGGTAAAATATTATGTTTAAAATTATTTATATTTTTAATTTTTAAATCAAAATTAATTATATATATTTAAATACATTCGAATCTAAGGGGCTGTTTGTTTACTTTAAAATAATTAAGTGTTGAATGATTCAAATGCTGAATGATTCAGAGGTTCTGTATGAATTAGCTCTGAATGTGACATGTTATTTGATAATGGCTATGAATAATTCAGAATATACTTTTGTGCTGAATCATTCAGCACTGTTTTATTGAATCATTCAGCACTGTTTTATTGAATCAGTCAATACTAAATCATTAAGAGATACAAAACAAACACGTTAAATACTAAACGATTCAATATTCAACACTGAATAATTCCAATAAGAGGCAAACAAACAACTCATAATTCTTCTTATCTATTATTGCTTAATCAACTTAGTAGTATAAAATTGGGTAGGCGGTGGGTGACACTATTCAGTCACATGCAAAGTGTGGTAATGTGGTAGCAAAGTAGATGTGGGGAGTAATGGTGTGAGTTGTGACAAGAGGTCTGTGACCACCACACACGTGGTGGAGATCCCATTGAATCTCACTCAGAATTAAATGCGCAAAGAAAGAAATCTCATTGGGAATTTTTTGTCGATGTGGGTGGGGCCACCTGTTCGTGGATAGGGTAATGAAAAGATTACGTCGAATTCTTCTATTACCATATGGTTCATATATCGAACGAAATTACAGATTTAATTTTTATACTTTAATTCTATTATTTTTTTTTGTAAATTTAATTAAAAAAAATTACCTCAATGAATGTAATACTGAAAAAAAAACGCTTGTTAATAATGTCCTAACAGGTGAAGCATGCACTAGCAACAAGCTTCCTTCCAGATTCAAAATCAAATCAGAAGGCAAGAAATAATTTGTACAGATGATGTTGCAGACTCAAAATCCCATCCAAGGTTTCTCTGTTAGCTCTTATTATCCACTGGGAATAGCTAACTGAAACTCAAAAATAAAAACAAAAAATGGGGAAATTAAGGTTTGGCATCACTTGGAAGCATCAGGATTGGGTTTCACTTCGTTATCAGCCTCAGCCGGAGCTGAAGTCTCTGGTTTTGGTTGTCCAGTGCCACCATTAGCAGCAGCAGCAGTATCCTTCCCTAGTGAAGCGGGTTTATTTTCTCCAGCAGAATCTGCTGCTTTTGAACCTTTCCCATTCTTGGCGTCCTTTCTTTCGTTTTCATCTTTATTTTCCTTTCCGTCTTTGCCATCTTTGGGTGGAGGGATCATATGTGGTAGAAGATTCTGTTTAAGATTAACGAAAATCTGCCTCATTCTCGAAAGATCAGTTGGTTTCCCCGATTTTTGACCATGAATTACCGACACCGAAGGAGTTTTATCGGAGTCTTTCCTTCCTCTCTTCTTCTCGATATTCACCACCTCTCGAGGAATGATCTCGCTTGTACTCATCTGCTTTGGCGATTATCTTATCTCGCATCTCCCTCTCTCTTTTCCCCTTCTCCTCCAGATGAATGACGTTTAAGCTGCACCGGAAGGAATTTTAAAACAATTAATGAAATAAGATATTCCGAAAAGAAGGGAAAACGAAACAAACCGGCGCCATTCGCGTCGCGTGAAGTTTTCCTCTTGCATCTGATCAGGCGGAGGCAACACTGGCCCTTCATAGGCGAAAACACCATCGTCATCAACATCATGACCACGACCACTACCATCCATCGCAGACCCTCCAAAAGAGGTCATGTACTCAGCGTTGGGCGCAGAAAACCCGAACCCATAAACGTCCGGCGAAGGTGGCTCGTTATGATTGTCGATATTATTATCAATGTTGTTATCGTTAGTGACAATATACCCAAGGTTTTGACTGTGACTCCTACTGTGGTTGTGAGCGATGTAAGTAGTAGTATCGGCGGTGAGATCATCGTAAGGGAAAGCTTGTGGAGGAGGGAAAGAGGAGGAACCGTGGGCTCCCTTGTTTGAGACATCGGCGTCGAAAGATCAAGAAGAGGAATTAATGTTTGAGCTGTTTTTGCTTAGAATACATCGTTATATTCGGATCCGAGAGAGGGAAGAGGAAGTTCGTTGGCTTCTCTTATATCATTATATTAACTATTATTATGATTAATTTTTTTCATTAGTTATAATAATAGATACATGACATATATAATAAATAATTATATATTATTAATTATTATAAATGAATTAATTCATGTTGAAATGATTTAATATAATTAATGTCAATTAGACTTCGACAATTGAAGTGCTTATATGATCTGGTATTTGAAATTATGGTAGCATGCTAGATGACATATGTTAAACTCATATTTCATTTGGTGTTAGAAGTCTTGTCCCAATCTTTAAACAATTACTATCTGAAGTAATTAGAGAATCAAACTTTAAATAAGACATATCATAAATATCTTTATGAAAAATACGACGAAGATCAATCAGAGTCGAATCATATATAACTAAGGAGTCATCTTCGTTGTAAACACATTTGGCCATTTAATCTGTCGTTTCATTTATTTATTTGTGATCAATTGAAAGTCTACCAATTAGGAGTGACATTCGATCGAGTCGAGTCACAAAATTTTGAGTTATTTGAGTTGAAGATTCATGTTTTATAATTCGGAGTTGACTTGAAATTTTTTCGAGTTGAGTCGAGCTAAATTTTCAAGTTCTATTTAAATTTAACTGTAAATATTTAAAATATTATGATATCATATGATTCTTATTTAAATGATATATATATATATATATCATACAAAGTAGAAGGACTTGACTCAAACTTCGACTCAAACTTAAAAATCAATCTACTAATTAGTAAAAATTTTGAGTTATTCGAGTTGTATTTTACAACTTGATTTGAACTTTAATTTTTTTCGAGTATAGTCAAGTTTATGAAATTACAACTCGAAGTCAATTTGAATCGAAAAAATTATTTTTTTCAAATCGAGTCAAGTTTTGCTTATTTCCACCACGAACCACGCTCTATTACAAAGATTGATAACATCACTTGAAAATATTAGGGATTTTGGGCCGCAGTTAAGGGTGGATCATTCACCTGAACAAGATCCACTTGGGTTCTGAGCTTGAACCAAAACCCATTAGTCACTCATGACCCCTGCTCTGTCTCCTAAAAGAAACCTATATTCAACCCATTATACGACCTAAACACTTAACTCGAGTTTATGTTTGACCAATTTTAATGACCTATACCACTCCACCAACCTTGTTTCAATCCATCGACGAGTCCCAAGCCCAGCAGTTAGAGGTGTTTAAATGAATCCATTATCGTTAATTGTAATCATTATATTTTATAAGATAATTAATTGAATTTTTAAGATTTAACGGTTTTAGTTAATTGAATCGTTAAATGTACCAATTAACAATTACAGTTATAGATGTGAATTTTGATAATAGTTAATCATTCGGTTAACCATTAATAAATTATATTTTTAAAGAATTGAATTAGAAATAAAATTAAAATGGTTCATTTCTTTTTTTTAGTTATCATGTTTATATTATATAGGAGCACATTAAATCAAACATAGAAGAAAAAATATTTGATTTTAAATTATAAAATATAAATATGTATGTAAGAATCTAAATTGCAACAAACAAAAAAAACTAAATATACATCATAATATATATTATCTATATATATATAGATATATATATATATATATATATTTCTATAAAAATAAAATACATCTACAAATAAATAAGATTTCTATAAATATATATGTTTCTATTATCGTAAATTCTATAAAATTTTGAAACTTTCACGTTGTTGTGTTGTGTTTGAAAAAATATTTAATAAGTTAACCTATAATCGAACTATTATTGATAGTTAACTGTTTTTTAATGTTTAGGTTATGATTAACAAAATTTAATAAATGTTACAATAATTAATCCGACCGTTTAAGTTAAACGATACGATTAACCGACCGTGAACACTCTTACTAACACCAACAGTGGGCAAACGAATAATTTACCTCTTCAGTAGGAACAACATTCGTGACGATCGGATCTACCTCGCACAACAGCTTCGAATGCCTTCAAAAATCAAGGAAGAAAAAGGACATGTTAGGTCATCAAAATAAAAAGAAAAGGGAAAAAATCCGACGAGATTAGAGATTTTGATTTCCAATGATCCGGATTTGATTTGGAGATTTGTGCGATGAAAGTGTTCCTCACATCACATCCGCGGTATTTGTGGTGTACGACAGTTTTAATATACGATTAAAGAAAATTTTTATCGAAAATATTAATATTTATTTAATATTTTCGGTAAAACGTTAACTAAAATATTATTTTTTTACTGGAAATGTTAATTTCGCTAATTAATTTCCGGTCGAACCCAATATTAATATTTTTGATAGAAAAAATAATGTTTTAAGTTGAGCTTTACCGAAATGTTAAATATTTTAGGCAACGCCTAATATTAACATTTCGGTAGGAAAAAAAATATTTTAAATAATGTTTTACCGAAAATATAAATCAAATTAATATTTTTAAAAACGTTTTTACTTAACAATATATTAAGACTGTCGTACCTTACACATCCTGCAATTATAACTTATTTCAGGGAAAATATCATAATTTTAGTCGGTGCAAATAGACTCCCACCCAATAATATCGTCCCACGTCATCCTTTTCCCTTAGACGACAACAACAGTCAAAGTTTTATAGTTTTTGTAAACACTTGGTCGACTAGCAAAAATATATTTTATTAGGTTAAAAATGTAAAATAGAAATTTTATGTCCTCAAATAATATCAAAGGATATAATATATGATACATTTTCATAGCTATATTACCTTATATTAGTATAATCTAAATATATTGAACCTAGTTTATATTTTATATTACCAACTGTTTATTAATGATTAGGTTACAATCATATCTTTTATTAGGTTTTTTTTCACAATATAGTTAACTTAATTTTCTTTCATAGGTAAGTCATTCATCTTTTTTTTTTCTTTTTGTCTTTCTTGATCGGTAGTGACACTAATTTTAATGTTTATTGTCGATTATCGATATTCTTTATTGTCATTTTATTTTCTCTTGTTTTTATTTTCAAAAAGTCTACCTGTATGACACATTTTCCTTTACCTTTATGGCACGTTTTCTTCTACCTTTTGGTACGTTTTTCGACCGTTTAGTTATTTTCACTTATCTTCTCCTAAGAGTTTATTAGACATCGCCACAACTGATTAAGATGGTGCTTATCTATTATATTGCTGATATTCCCTGCTTTGAACCCTCATATTGGTTTTGGATACCCGTTATGCACTCGTTGATATATTTTCACGTCGTTCGAGTATGATTTACGATTTGTCGGAGGTCTTTCATTAGCTTGATCATTTTTTTGGTTCGTTTGCCGATGCGATCATATTTGTTTTGTATCTATCTTTGTTCGAGTTTTCTTGGTTATGTTTTAATCTTTCCTTGTATGGTCCTGTGTGATCTTAAGTTGCTAGTTTTTTTCCAATGATTATAGAAAATTATCCTAATCATGTACTTAATTTACGATTATGATCGTAAATCTATTGTAATTTGGGATATTTACTATTTTTAATAAAATTAGTAATTTCTTTTAAAAAAATTAAAGGTCAAAATTTACATGTAGTCCATTTCAAACCTACAAAGTGCAATGGGCCTTGAACAAACACGAACTGGGTTAGTGTGTTCCACCCATAATTTTAGCCCACTGCTTATGCGCATCGGGGAAGAAATCTGCAAACATTAATGGCAGTCACATTAGATCCTCAGTACCAAATTTATTGGCTGCTATATCATTTATCAAGCATAAAACTAGCATCAAATTACTTCCCAAAACCTTCACAACATTCATTTATTGTTTCATGTTTCGCCGATCAAATTCGGAAAGTCAGTATTCACGCAAAAAGGAACACCTTAGATTTCTCTATTACTGTAAATCATCATCCTTGTCGATATATTATTTAAAAGGAAAACTATGTATTTACTCACCAACCTATCTTTATACTTTTGTTTTGATCATTTAACTGTTTTTTTCTCAAAATCTTATCTAAATTATGTTTTAATTTCGGTTTAGTCACCCACCGTTTAAAATTTAACAATAATGTCGATGTGTATTTTTTTAAAAAAAAATTAAAAAATTATCATGTTAGCAGTTATGTTTATTTTTTAACAATAGGTGAGTAAAATGTAACGTTAGCTAAGGTTTTAGGGAAAAAATGATTAGGTGACCAAAACGTAACCACAAGAATAGGTGGGTGATTAAGTAAAGAGTTTACCCTATCTTAAACTATTATTGCCAGTGCCACCACAGGCTTGAAAACTCATGTAGTCTCCGTGACCAAAATTTCCTCTTCGGTCCTTCCCGTTCCACCCTCTTTCATGTGACTTTTTTGTTCTCTTATGCCAATCCATCTCCCCATACTTTTGCCTGTGATTTGCTTCAATACCCCTTCTCTTTTTAAATATGGCTCCTCCACTTCACCATTTTCCTTCAAATCCATACCCCTTTTTTCAGTTGAAAATAATACAATCGAAAGCCATGAAATCTTCTGTTTGTTGCTGCATTTCTGGCTTTTCTGTTGTGTGTTACTGCTTTCACGTCTGCAAGGCATGCAAGGCGGCCACAGACACGTACGTATATATATATATATATAAAGCCATCTGTGAAACATTTTTTCCTTGTTTCTTATCATGCTAGATTTTGTGCTGTGTGAGACAGATCATGGTAGACCAAACAAAAGAGAAGGGCTGGTGTCGGAACCGAGTTCGTACCGGGAAAGAAGCAGACCGATGTTGAAGAGAAAGAGAGCAGACACACTACAGGTTGCGGGATCAAGATTGCCGGACTGCGCACATGCATGTGGATCATGCACGCCTTGCAGTTTAGTTATAGTGAGCTTTGTATGTGCATCGCAGCAAGAGGCTGAATCTTGTCCTATGGCTTACAAGTGCATGTGCAACAAGAAGACTTACCCGGTTCCATGATATCTTTTCCAGATCATGATCTTTTACTGGATTCTCATTTTGTATTATACTGAGGTTGTCCCGTCTTGCTTTTGTAATGTAGTTTTGACGTCCTTTTTGTAATCGAATAGTTTTGGGATAATGTCACATTTAGTACTTGTGTTTTTATAAAATATTCACCATGGTACATGTATTTTAAATGTCTAATATGATACATGTACCTAGGTAGAACATCTAATATAGTATTTGATCATCATTCCATGCATTATTATAGTGTTTGTGAATTTTAATTGAATGATTTGATACTTAATAACCATTCGGTAATACACAAAATGTAATTCATGTCAAATATTTAATAACTATATATGTTAGCTAATGTGCCACAATAATACAATAATGATAGTTTAGATACTATTGGATATTAAAGTATAAGTATTATATTAGATATTTTAAAAATATAGATATCATATTAAATTTTATATTAAAATATGATTATATACTCTATTCGTCCCACTAAATGTGTTATTTGTTGACTTTTTTTAAAGAAAAAAATTTAAACTTTGATGATTATTTTAAATAATAAGATTTTATAAAATATATATTTAAAAAATACTTGATTTAAGATTTTTAAATATATTTTCATATTTTTATTAATAATAAAATTTAAATAATAATGAGTGAAAGTTAAAAAAAATTAACACAAAAAGTCAATAAGAAACGTATTTAATGGCTCAGAAAAAGATATTTTGTCACAAGACATATACTACATTAAAAGAATTAAATATATTTTTTTATTAAATTACAGATATCAAATATGACCTTTCGCATTATGCTGACGTAAAGAGGATAGAAGAAAAATAAAAATGTCATTTGGTTGCTTTACTATAACACTTATAAGCATCATTAGGAGTTCTGGCTATATTGTTGTTCTATTGCGGAATTAAGTGGATGAATAAAGTGGATGAACAAATTTCTGAGTTGTTCATTTGTTTAAGGGAATATTCCCCCATTTCACATTCAGATACGTTCTAGTACTTAAGCGATTGATTTTATTATCGTTTTTATCATTTTTAAAAATAATGTGTACACTTGCGGAAAATATTAGAAATATTAAAGAATCTAAAGTTAAATTCCACATGGGATAGGTGTCGACAGTAATTTTCGTTTCGTATTTTTATATATTATTGTTATTATAATATTATTATTACAAACAATATTATAAACTCGAAGGCCCAAATACAGAAAAAACCCAGAGCCCATTTGCAGTAGACCCGATCCAGGCACATGAACAGATAATATAATAATTAGGGTTTGTACACAGTTCCAACCACCAATATCCTCAACCATTGGATCTGGAGAGATCCAACGATCCAGATCCAATCTAGCAGAAACTCTAGGGTTCACCAACCATAGAGTTATTCCGGTCGCCGCCTCCAGGTGCTCCAACCAGATGCTGCTATGCCTCTACCAACTTGACGGAAGACTCCAGAAGCCACAAGAGAACCACACAGCTCACTCCCTATGGCGAGTCACCATCGTAGATCCGGTGACTCACCGAATAAACGGTTGTCCGAGGCATTCTGAGGCCTATAAAAAGCCTTGAAAACCTGTAAGAAAGGAGACACGAAGAAAAGAGAGCAACAAAGAGGAAAAACACCAAACATAAACAAAAATGAGGGAGAACTACAGCAACCAACGAACATCAAACCAATCGAAAGGAAAGAAGAAACTTACCGAGGAGCACAAACGTTGCCGGAAAGCATCGTTAATCGAAGGTACAAACTTAGATCTAGGAGGTTTTAGGCTCTTTTAGGAAGAAAGAAGGTCGGATTTGGGACGAGGGAAAGCCGATCTACGATTTGAACTATTTTTATTTCTTCCGGCTACTGATTGGAAAAGTGAGCGGCGGTGGCCGGAATAGTGATCAACTCTCCCTCCGATGAGGGAGTTTAGAGAGAAATGAGAGCTCATCTCTCCTTAGAGAGAGAAGCAAAATTGAGAAAATGAGAAGAATTGGCCATTTTTGGCCAATTTGGGGTATTTATACCCTCCTCAAAACTACGTCGTTTTGGGGAGGGATTATCTGGGTAATTCGAAATGGATAAACTATACCCGTGGTCCCTGTAATTTATAAGCCTAGAATTTTAATCACTAAATTAGATTTTTTTTTATTTTAATTTTGTTTTCTCATTTTACTTTATTTTAGTCTATGTCTGTATACTAACATATATTTAGGGTAAATAGCATATTTAGTACCTGATATTTTAATTATTTAATATTTTAATTTTAAATAATATTTTAGGATTATTTACACTAATAATACCTAGATTTCATGATATTTAGAATTAAGATTTTTAATTTTGATATTTTACAATTTTAATTCTTTAGTTTTAAAATAATAATTTTAAATATTATTTTTAGAATTATTTACTATTATAGTACTTTGCGTATTAAGTATTTATTAATAGTAACCTATAATTTTGATATTTTATTGATTTAATCATTAAATTTATTATGTGTGTTTGGGTTATTTTATTTTATACAATAAATTATAAAATATTTCCTTAACCTATTAAGAATTTATTTTAAATGATTTAATGGTGTAAAATAATACCCTTGATATTTGTTAAAGGGATCATAAATTAAATTAAACTTAGATTTATAAATTTTTACTGCAAAGACATTAATTAATAAAAAAGGTACCAATTTTGGGCGTTGTGGGGGTGTTAATCATTCTCCACACGTAATCGACTCCCGAACTCATTTTCTGGTAAGTAAACCCTTTTTGTGTTATTTTAATAATATTTTTATAAATTTTATTAAAATAACATAGCATTTTTGGTGACCAATCACACCTCGATAAATGATTAGTGGTTACACCTTAAAATTGTGTTGTATCTTATGCTAGAAGAAAAACACTTACTTTTTCGAGACGAGATTTAGAAAACAACGACACTTGTTTTCGCCGGGCAAATACTGTCTCGACAGCTTGGCGACTCCGCTGGGGACCAAACCTTTTTAGAGTCAGGCCACCAGTTTATTAATTAATTGTCTTTGCACTAAAATTAAATTTGTTTTAATTTAGTTTTTTCCCTTAATTATTTTATAACCATTTTTAGTATAAATAGTTGTACTAACTTGTTTGTTAATATTTTCAGGTTTAATTGTGTCTTTAGATTTAAAGAATAAATTTTTGTGTTAGTACATTATTTTTTCTTTCTACTTTTCCTCACACATTGTGCACTGCATTATCATGACATGAGCTAAAACCCATATCTATACCATTTAGCTTAAATGAGAAACTACTCCCTCGTGCGATTTTCACATCTGTATGGAATAGGGGACCATTCCTTGAGCTCACACCTTATGTTCCTCGTGTGGTTTTCACCTCCGTATGGACATAAGGAAGTGTGTTCCTTCAAATTGAACTCAATCTGGAAGTCTGCGATGGGTCAAAATTGATGGTTTGTTAGCCCAAGGGGGCACCAACAAGGACAATTCGATGACCCTTTTTACCTTAGAGCCAAAACCAGCATATAATAAACTTATAAATCAAATCTTGGAAATTCCGTGAAAAGAATACATAAGGAAAAATTCTTTATGAGAATTTGCGGTTAAGCTTACTTCTCTAAACAAGGAAGTGAAAGATCTAAGACCCAATCAAATGGTACTGCAGAACATGGAAAATGTTAGACAAATATGCCCAGAGATGGAAGGATATAATTGTATATACATCTACCCATTGAAAAAAATGAGTCAATTATGTTTTTATACGAATTGGAAACTTGACAATGGTGAATCTAACAAGAAACCACCAAAGAAAATGAATAAGTAAATGAGGTTGGACATTTTACTCGAAGTAAAAGATGTTACTCCAAAAATATCTAAAAAACAAGCTACTATTGATAAAAGGAAAAAGATTGACCTACAGCTGAGAGAAAATGAACCTGTCATCAACGAGCCAGTGACTGAGAAAGATCGATTTGGTTTGGGATATCAACCGACTGTAAGGGAGAAACAGAGGGGCATTAGAAAGAATCAAGAAATGAGGAAGGCAAAGTTAGTTGGAGAAGATATCATCTACTAATGACTTTTCCACCATTGTGCAATACTTTTTGTGTCTGGAGGACATATGTTCCAAGAGGAGCAGTAAAACAAGGGACATATAGTTGAGAATACTTTGAAAGAGCTGAGTATCAATGTCATATCAAATGATCAATATGAAGAAAAGAGATTGAAAGCTCTACCTTTTGCTCTGTAGGCTTATAGAACTTCAGTATGAACGTCGACTGGGGCAACTCCGTTTTCGTTAGCCTATGGGATGAAAGTTTTCCTACCTATTGAGATATATCAAAAGATGATATTATGAACTCATGATAAGAAAGGTCCTTGAAGCATGTGATGCATATTCTGTCTCTATTGGAGAAAAATAAGTGATGTCCAACATTTCACATTCTTAAAAGCAAGTAGCCCGAGAGATCAGAAGGGTTGGATAATAGAACTTGTAAGACTCCCTTGTGATGTTGTCAGCAACCTGTTAAGAAGAAGATGATTACTTCATTCGGAAAATGCACATATCTCAGACATTTCTGTCAAAATGATTGATTAAGTTTGTAACAACATGAAGAGAATCCTTCAAGTTACTTAATTATTGTTTAATAACACCGAAATAAGAACATGCAAGATTAAGAGATTTGGACATGAATAGAGCTGCAAGTACCCACGATGGATGGAGCATTATCAAAGTTGGACCTCGTGAGGATCATGAGATTCTAATCAAACATTGAGAGTGAGCCTTACAAATTAGAATGTTCAGACATTTTGAAGGCTCACATCAACATGAAAATATTAGGGCATTATGAAGGCCTATTTCAGATAAAAATGATCCATGTGGGACATTTTGAAGGCTCACATTAGCATGAAAAGGTTAGGACATTGTGAATGCCCACTTCAACCAAGAAATAGCATGTTGGGACATTTTGAATGCCCATTTCAGATGAGCTATGTGGGGCATCTTTAAG